ATCTAAATTCTAGAGCTTACCACTGTCAGGGAAATAATAGTTAATAATGAAAACAGTGCTACCCAATAACAATGAAGCTTAACAACATTGTCTGCTACATGTGAAGGCACCTAATGCTGAGGGAAAAAATTAAAAAACAAAAGCAACAACCAAACACTGGAAAGGTTTCTTGAGGCTTTCTTTCGATGACACCTGGAAACTTATCTGGAACGTCTTACCTGGTATGGCATCAAGTGAGACGGTAATAACGAAACTCACCACATTAAAATTTATGATGCCCTTAAGAGACACAGCACCGATTCATTTTTTTCCTACAAAGTCTTGGTTTAAATTTCTTGAATATTTCCCAGAATTAATTAATAATGGCTTTAGACCAGAAGATATCCTTGGTAATGGGGTTTGGCAATTCTTTCAGAAGATATAGTTCTTAGGATTAGACAAGCTGGTGATCCATACTAAAGAACTCAGAGTTTAAGTTAATGTATCGTTTAAGTTAATGTATGCAGGGCAGGCTTACATTTATCCTAACAAATGAGCATGGGCCATGAATCAGAATCACACGTAGGCAAAGAAGTGTGAGTGGCTTGGCCAAAGGCCCTAACTGCTATTAAATAATTGCACAGATAGTGTAGGTCTTTTGAAGGTGGGTTTACACAGCATATCCTCCATATGCTTAGGACATCATGTTCTGTGAACTTGTATTTGGCCTATTCTGGAGTTGGGTATAGTACAGTGAACAAGAGCTTAAACTTAAGGATCAAAAAGAGAGAGCAAAAAAGGGAGGGAGACAGAACGTCAGGATCTCTGAGTTCAAGGGAGGGCTTATTCACTTGCTAGCCAGTAATTTAACATCTTCGTCTCTAAAGATTAAGAAGGAGAAAATAAGAGCACCTACCTTCTAGAGCTCATGGAAAAAGTTTTTAAATGTTTCATTTATTTTTTTTTTTGAGAGAGAGAGACAGAGAGAGCGCAGGACGGGCACAGAGAGAGGAGGACAGAAGATCCGAAGCGGGCTCCATGCTGACAGCAGCAAGCCCAGGGCAGGGCTCGAACTCCCGAACCGCGTGAGATCACGACCTGAGCCAAAGTGGGACGCCTAACCGACCGTGCCAGCCAGGCGTCCCTAGAGCTTATGGAAAATTAAGTAAAATACTGCACGTAAGATGGCTAGCATAGTGTCCAGCACACCGTGTCTGAGACTTGTTCATTGAACACTCACTCTTGTAATTATTAACACTAATGTTACACTCAGCAGTCTTGAAACAAACTAGGAGTACTGACCGTCAAATACACTCAGAAGGAAACCTTAAGACTGGGAAAGTCAGAATGAATAGACTGGTCTTGGTCACGTATCTGCCAGGGAAATGCTAAGGGCTGCATTTCAGAATGTAGCAACTTCACCAATTGCTTTATAATAAATATGAAATCAGATAAAGACAGATGATAGAAACAAGAGCAACTTAACAAAATGTACTGATCAATTCATTCTTTTTTCATTCAACAGATGGTTTCTGAGGGCCAAGTGCCTACTATGAAATATATGTATGCTGGAGTCATGAAGGAAACGTCAGTAATCATCCCTGACCTCCACTTAAGTTGTTGTTAAGGGGAGAATGAAAGAATTGATACTTGTTTATTTAAAATCAATGACAATTTATCTACGCAAACTTCAAGCTACTTTCACATTTACTTCTAGCTGTACTGAATACAGTTCCAGGCAAACAAATAAATCTAGTTGCCGAACTGTCGTTGCAAAATTCTTATTGCTTATGTTATGGGGCCTGATTACTCAAGCTTTCTTTCCCTGAACATGGGTTTTTATAAGAAATCTTGCCTGAAGATGGCATCAATAGTTCAGATCACCACTCTTTCTTTCAGAAAGTGGTGGACAAAGATGACAAGGATGCCTCCCCCCGTGGGCAGTGTTCTTCAGTGTTACTAGAGGATGGCGTGATCCAGAAAGTCGCCTGGGTTTGTGCGTGCAGTGGGAAAAACAAGAGATTCCCCGCCTGAACTGCCCCCATGAATCAATTTCCAGTATGGGACACATGCCTAAATGCTAACGTGAAGGACAAAGTCCGGGCTAGATGCTCTACTTTTAAGTGGGAGAGATGGACCTGAAGAGCACAGATTTCCAAGAGCAACCTGAGTATTCTTTCCAATGAATTCCACTTTTGAGAATCTTGGACCTCCTGCTCCATCAGAAGGAGGCATATGAAAACCCATGCTTACCCATCTGGAGGAAAAACTAGTTCAGGGTAAGCTTGACAGAATGAAGAGGCCATCATCCCAGAAATCTCCCTTCCCATAGAAGCCCACCCCCTAGTTAATTCTGGGTCCGTATGCAAGTGTGTGTGTGTGTGTGTGTGTGTGTGTGTGTGATGGAGGATGGAGACCTGGGAGTTTGATCTAAGTCTTCTGGACTTTACAGCTTGTTCTGAAGAGAGACTTCTGGAACTCTGCATGTGAGAGCAAGGTCTACAGCCAGCACAGGTCTGACTCATGGTAACTCCAGAGAAGAGAGGCAATCGCAGGGAGTGGAACAATCAGAAAAAGCTCCTTGAAGGGGTTGGGATGTGACGCAGGCCTGAAGCAATGACTAGAATCTGGAAAAGTGGAAGATCACTGGGTCAGGTGTCCGAGTATCTGTGTTTCAGTTCTACATCTCCCACTTGACTAGCTATGAGACTTTGGATACGTTTCTGCACTTAATTTTCTCCTTTGCAAAGGAAGATGCTGGATCCAGGATCTGAGGTCACTTTTGGTACCTACCATATATGTTCGATAATAGTAAAAGTGTTTGGCAAGTAATTTATCAGTGCAGTTTCAAGGGCAAAGACCCATGTTCTTGTTCCAACTTCAGAGTTTGCTGCACTTACACTGTTTGTGAAAATGTGAATTTATTTGATGACCTATCCAATTACTTGTCCGATTCAATAAGTATTTATTAAGTACTTGCTGTGTGACAAGGTCTGTGCTAGGTGCAGGGCCTACAGAGATGGGTCAGACGTAGTCCACAGAAGAGCTCAGTATTTAGGAAAGTAAAACACTGCTGTAAATGCAATAAATAATTATGTTCAGAATATGGCAGAGGGAATGATTAGGTACTGGGCAGACAAGGCCTGGGAAACGTACTCAGAGGTCATGCTTCTGAGCTGACTTTTGAAGGATTAAAGGGTACTCCCCACAAAGGGACATTCCAGGCAGAGAAGATAAATTCAAAGGCACAAAGTGATGAACCTCGTGAGTGCAGGGATCTCTAGGGGGCTGGGCGCTGTGAGTGAGAATGTGTAGTTGGGAAGTCCAGAGAGCTGTGGGTGGGGGTGAGAGCAGGAACGGATTGTGGAAGATGCAGCCAGACAGGTGCTTGACATAAAAGGTCAGTGGTTTGGGCATGAGGATATGGGGCCAAAGATGCTAATTTATTCTCCTAAGTTATTAGTCTAAGAGCAGGAAACTGTATGGCAGGGAATTCATGAGTATTCTCCAGCCACCATAACAATGTATCACAGACTGGAGGGTCCACACCACAGGTTTACAAGGTGTTCACGGGGCTGGTCTCTGCTGAGGCCTCACCCCTTGGTTTGTGCATGGCTTGTCCATGTGTCCTCACATGTCTTGTCCATGGGTCTGTGTCCCCACCTCCTCTTCTCAGCCCGTGAGGACACCAGTCACATTGGGTTAGGGCCCAGCCACATGACCTCGTTTTATCTTAATTACCTCTAGAAAGCCCCAATCTCTGAATATAGTCACATTCAGAAGTGCAGAAGGTTAGGACTTCAGCGCATGAATTTGAAGGGGCATGACTCAGCCCACAACAGAGAAAGTCACACACTCGGAATCACTAGAACCTGAACCTTTGTGACCAGCCCATACAATCCAGAAGCTTATCAACTGTTTGGTCTGGTGAAAGGGGTGTGCCTTTTACCTCCTTCCAAAGATTCCCTCCCCATCCTCTATTGACAAGCCTTTCCTGATTCAGTGAAAGCTAAGTGACCATTTCCCCAAAGCCCCAATTTCTGGACCCAAGCCACAAACATAGCAAGCATGGGATTCACAGAGTTGCCTGGTTTCCTTATCTTTCAAGGCCCAACTCAAACACTGCTTCCTTTGTAAGCGTCCTCACACCCTCTTCCCTGGAGCAGAGGACAATCTCCTCTCCTCTGTGCTCCCATGACACTTCATCTGCACCTCTCAGGGAGTCTCTCCTTGAGGTTTCTGTGCCTCCACAGCCCTGGAGTAAGCTGAAAACACCTCCACCTTGTGTGTCTCACTCCCTTGAGGCCAGAATTTTCATTTTCGCCTTATCCAACACACGATAAACATCAACACTGATAAAAGAATGAATGTAGTTTGTTGCTACATTCTTTATGGAACTTTGGCACCTGGATCACCTGGGTCACCCTTTCCAGCCTCATCACTGTGTCTCTTGCCATGTTAAGGGCAGATAACCCTGGTGCTTCCTGGAGGATTAGCTCCCAGAGGAGGAACTTTAGTACTCATGTTAGGTACTAAGCATGGAACTGCAGACTCGGAAAGAAGGTGATCCCGTGATGGAGTAAATGGGCCTATCCTTCGAGGAGATGGTGTATAACTCACACAGAAGGAAGGCACACCAATTGTCTTCTACAGATATCATAATGAATTCTATTCTTTGACAAAACGAAAAAAACAAACCTAAAAGAAACACAAAATATTGCATCCTTGCTGTTTTTTCTGAGTCCCCGGGATTTTCAGTCGGGGGCTGGATGACTCCCATTGGGGATAGAGTGTGGAAAGAAAGTTCTTGTAAAGAACTCCATGGTCAATATGCTTTCCAAGTAACTGCTGATGACACCTGAGACTGAACAGAAGAGAGGAGCCCACGTATATGCACACTGTCATTTTTCTTTTTATTAAAATTTTTTTAATGTTTGTTTATTTTTTGAGGGGGGGAGGGGCAGAGAGAGAGGGAGACACAGAATCTGTAGCAGGCTCCAGGCTCTGAGCCATCAGCACAGAGCCTGAGGCGGGGCTTGAACCCACGAGCCACGAGATGACGACCTGAGCCAAAGTCGGAAGCTCAACCGACTGAGCCACCCAGGCACCCCTCGTGTTGCCATTTTTCAATGGACCCATAAGTGTACAGTTGTGATTAACAAAATTACCATTCCTCTAAAAACCCTTACTGAATCTTCAGTGGATTTTTGTTGTATTATTTCCTCAACTGCTTGATACTGACAGTATTCTGAAGAGGTCTTGAAATTACCTGAAGTTATAAAGGGGAACCTCTTAAACGAAAAGTTTGGGAGCCAACTAATTTTGATATGAATGCTTGTCCTTTGTGAAAAAAATGGAAATTTCTGCTCCAAGCATTGAAATGAGCAGCTAGTGAGAATTTTAAGATTCTGTTTCCATCTTTTGATTTTGATGACACTCTGTTTTCAGTGTAATTCCTTAGAAGGGCTCTAGGGTAGGGCCGGGAGCCAGGGGTTTGTTTATCTTTCAGCCCGTGGTGACGAACTCCAGGATTCCTCTGCAGGACACACTAGCACTAGCACAGAGTGCAGACAAAACAGGATATTACTTTCTGATTTAGTTCCCTGTGAGAATTTCCCAAAGGGCTCTCGGGTTGCCTCTTCTAAATAATCTGCATGGCAAAGTGGCCCAAGACCTGCCCTGTGACCACTTTGCATATTCGTGTGAATGGGTGTTGCCAAAAGAAGAAATTATTCACAAAGAAGAAGGATTTAACAAAAAAAGAGAGATGCTGGACGGAGCAATAATGAAAGCACATATTGGTGAAAGGTATTTGTGCGTGGCTTTGAGAGGAAAGATGTGTGTTCACAGACATTAAGGAAGACTCAAACTTCTCTTCTATTGGGGAGGAGTGGGACCAACTCTAGACAGAATCACACTTAGAGTCAAAGGCATTGTCAGTGTGTTTGGCACCAGCTTTACCTTCCTCATCACGTTGGACTTGGACTAATCTATATGCCACGTTGAATTCCCTGAACGTATATATCCCACAGGCGGGTTGGGTGAAGGGTGGTGCGGACCAGCCTAGGCTAATTCACCCTAGCATCCCCCCACCAAAAGGTCCAGAAAAAGCAGTGAGTGGCTCCATCCCCCATCCCTCCTCCTTTTCAGGACTCTTGACCCTTTAACTCACTCTAAGCCTGTGCCACGAAGGACTGTGGAGAAGCTGGTTAAAATGCAGATGGCTTCTCATTGGCTGCAGGATAGGAATCATGTCCCCTCTAGTCCCAGATTAAGTTTATGGTCCTGGGGCACCTGGGTGGCTCAGTTGATTAAATGTCCAACTTCTGCTCAGATCACGATCTCACAGTTCGTGGGTTTGACAGCCCAGAGCCTGGAGCCTATTTCGCATTCTGTGTCTCCCTCTGTCTCTGCCCCTCCCCCACTCATGCTCTATCTCTCTCTGTCTCTCAAAAATGAATAAATATTTAAAAAAAATTTTTTTTTAAAGTTTATGGCCCTTCACTCACCCCAGCCCCTCATATAGCTCCAGCTACGGCCACATTGCAATTTTCATTTGCGCACTGAATCCTCTTGACTTGTTCACAAGCCTTTGAATAATGCCATTCTGTCTGAAATGTTTTTCTCTAGCTGACAAAGTTCTTATTCTTGAAGAGAAAACTTTCTGAGAAGCATCCCTGACTCCTAAGGCAGGCCAGTCACTTGGCACATGGTAAGCACTCAATAAATTATAGGTGTTACCATTGTTAGGCTCTTAGCCATCCCCAACTCTGAATTTCCACAGCCCTTGGTCTATACGCATTAGAGCACCTAGTGTTTGCAGATCTTTCCCCCTCATTAGTCTGTTTTGTACATCTAGCGCAGTTCCTGGTATAACATTTGTTAAATGAATCGGGCTCAAACTCAGGTACCCAGAAGCACCATTGATGAACACATTCAGAAGACGAAGTAGAACAATAGGGAAGGGTGGAGACTGGGGAATGGAACTCCTGGCCGCATCTACTTTACTCTGAGCAATTGCCGCTATGCAGGAATACTTTGATTTAAAACACAAACGAAACCAAAAAACACCATAGACCTGAATTTTTCTGCATAGTCTCTAAATTTTAAAATCTTCACAACAAACATGACTTTTCAAAACCACAGAGTAAGCCAAGTAAAACATTCCTGAAAGATGCCAGTTTCCATCTTGCTTAGAGACTGGAGGGGGTGGATGAGTGTTGACTGGTCTCCAGATGACAGCCACTTCTCCCGGAGTCAGGATGGCCCCTGCAGGTCTTTCTGCCAACATCAGGAATGGGACCACTTCCCCTTGCACTCTCTAGAGCATACCACAGTCTTCCACTTCCAGAGTCTCTATGGGCTTTCAGTCTACTGACAAGCTGCCTGGCCATAGAATTCCCTGCCTGTGTTAGGGATTGGCTGTCGACGCCATTCAAAGGCAGGCTTTGCGTCCCTCAAATGGGCATGTCTGTCTGGGAGTCTGGATAACACCACCTCCGAGTAGGAAGTGACAGTGAGGAAGCGACTCTGATGAGAAGGGTGGAGTCAACCCCACCTTCCAATGGGGAAAGAAAACCTGGTTGGTCATTAGGGGGCTTAGATTTCAGACCTGAGAGATTTGCAGCAGTCTGAGTGATCATAGGTTCTTTATCTGTGTTTTCTCAGTTACTCTTCACCACAACCCTGAAAGGCAGGTATTTTTATCTTTATCCCATTGATAAGGTCACAGAACTTGGAGAGAGAATTCACCTAATACCCCACAAGGACAGAGCACAAGGCTGGGGACTGAACCTTGGTGGTCTGCACACCTCCAAAGTCTATGATCGTGTTCATTCCTCCACGATGTCCCCCGCACAAGGCGGGGTTTAGCCTGGGAGGGGAGGGGGAAAATGCCTTTCTCACTTTCCTCTCTTATCCCCATGTAAGATTATGTAACTGTGCAGAGACAGCCAATTCCCCTGCCCCTGTTTTCCTGATTCCACAGTCCCTGCAGCTCTAACAGGCAGAGAAGGGAGAGCTCAACTTCTTATGATAGAGATGCTTCTTCAGTTCTATTCAGCCCACCGCTTCCAAAATGTACTCTGGTTTGGTTTTTGTTTTTGTTTTTGTTTTTGTTTTTGTTTTTACCATGGAGCTGTTTCTCAGAGCACTTACTTCATATTCATAGTCACAGGTGTTCCATGGAATGCTCTTTGTTAAACGTTCCACTTAACTCTTAAGAGGGCAGTCTCTTAAGAGACACAGTGCTTAAGTTCCTTGTGGACCAAAGGGAACACTTATGAGCAAGCCATGAAGCGGACTTCAGGCTAGGAGAAGGCTAAAGTGGGGAGACGTGGAGTATAAGAAAACCCAGAGGGACAGGTTTATGGTAATATATAGGCTCAGACTTTATGAAAAGCACAGACAATGCTAAAAAGAGAATGTTTAAGAAAGCACCTTGATTATGAGAAAGCTTGTCAACGCCAGGAATGTCTTGCCATGAAAGGCCAGGAACGGAGGGGCTGGGAAATATTTCTCGCTGTGGGATTTCAAACAGAATAGCTTCCCCTTGGCAAGTCTCTGGTGGGGATGTTTCTAGAGTCAGAGGATAGATTAGATTATCGCAAGATCCTTAGAAAGCATCCATTTTAGCCATAACTTAAAACCCCGCATCTGAAAGCTGAAGGCCAGGGAAGTGATAGCAAGCAAGCAGCTTTGTGGCAGGGCTCAGCCCCGCACCCTCATCGTACAAGATTGTTTTCTGCCTTAAGCCCCGTTCCCCTCTAGAACCTTCCAAAGAGATACAGACACCCAGCGACCGCACGGGGCTGCTTCCTGTGGCAGCCAAGCAAACATGAGATGTACGATGACCACAAATGGTCAGCCTCGCTGGGGAGCACGCCTCAGGGGAGGACTCACCCAAAATAAACAAAAGAAGAGGGGATTCGGGACTCCTAAATGTCACAGCAAGGCAAATTCCAACTTCTTGTAACTTTATGCGATGTTAGAATTAAAAATAAACATGCAAGCCTGGGCACTCACCCCTGGGTAAAGATTTCACGGTGTCTTGTGCTGTGACAGGCCATTAGTTAGAGTAATTGGGCTGTGTGTGTAGCTCTCTTGCACTGCCTTCTCCAGGTGGAGCAGGGTGGTGGCTGCAAGTGGTGGGGGGACTCATCTAAGCCCTGAGACACAGTCGTGCTGGGAGGGGAGGTGGGTGTCCCCCTGGCACTGATGAGAGAGGGTCCTTGGACCATCTCCAGGAGCCTGGGGCCGCAGCCAGCAAGCCTCACTAGTTAGCACTGACAGGCGATGAGTCACTCCGGCTTGAATGAGGCTCATTATTCAAAAGGAGGTTTTGAATAATGGCCAGAGTGCCAGCTGGTGTGGTTGGAAATAAATATATCCGAGTGTTTCAGCAATGCCAGCTCCATTCCTACTCTGAAAAATGTCAGAGGCTTCCTACCTCACTGTCACCGGTGAGCGCTCTGCCGTGTAAACAGAAGGCTTGGTTTAGTTGGGTTTAGCTCTCTGAGAAAGCAAGTGGAGACAGTAATGCCCACCTTGCAGGGCTGTGAGGGGTAGAGACGTAGGAGCCAGATAAGCATCCAGACGGGTGCCTGGCCCCTCACGGGCATGCAGGAAAGAGCGGTTCGGCAGCGCATATGAACGGTGACCCCGGCTCTCTGGAGCTTAGATGGACTTGGGTGTGATTCTGGGTTTTGTTGCCTACCGTATGGAATCAGACAACTTATTCCAACTTCCTGTTCCTTGTCTGTAAATGAGCAGAGTAATAATTGTCTTACTATCTACCTTGCAGTATTGCTGAGAACACCAAAGATAATGCACAAAAGTACCCAGCACAGCATCCATATGTCATGGGGCGTCAAATACTGATTGTGGCTAATCTAAATATTTAGATAGAACTGAAATTCACTTTTGTAATCCAGCCAGCACTATTCTGCCTGGTCTTTCCTTTGGCCGCCATCTTGAATGTGTTCCCTCAGGTTAAGACTATATACACCGGTGTCAATGAGAAAGAAGAATGATCACAGCTAATACTTGCTCAATACTAATTTTGTGCTACATTCTGTTCTCACACTGCATGCACAAACTCTTTTGGT